CACACCAAAAACCCGGACACTGAAAAGGCTGCCAAGGAACAGTATATTCAATGCCTTCTCTTTAATCAAGAAACAAGGAATTCCTTAGAATCTTTTTTTTTCCCCAAGTGGCCCTCTTTAAAAAAATATATGGAGGTAACACTTTCATTCAAAAAGTCTTCCAGTATCTGGAGTCGCTCAGACATATTGAAGTGAGGCAGGAGAGTAAGTGAAATTTGAAATGATCCAGCTACCGTTTTCTTCCCCTCCCGCCCGAAGGCCATTATCTCCACATCAAAACGAACAAGGGGAGGCAAAGAAGCCAAACACGCTAAAAAGGATCTCTTTATTTTCCTACACAAGATCACACCTACTTTTCCGCATTCAAAGGACAACCTCTCCTCACCACCACCACACACACACACACACCCCAATACCCGCAAACAATGTTCTGGGCATTAATCACCATTGCTACATTAACCTGGTAAATTTATACCCTGCCTCCCCCAGTGTTGCTTTGACGGCAGGATTTCACACAGCGGGGCGCTCGCTCGCTCTCTTCTCCACTCTCCCACCGTTCGCACATGTTGGAAGCACCGTAAAACCTGATAACCCACCCGGGGGCTCCCCCATCCTTAACCTACAGCCGCCCGCATGCAAAACCTGCGTGCAAAAAGAAAAAAAGAAAAAGAAAAGTACGCCGCACGTGAGGATCTTCGAATCCTCTCCTCCCCACACCGCTAAGGAAGGAAGAGGGGGAAAGGTTGCGCAGCGCGTGGCGAGTGACACCCGCCACACACACACACACACACACACACACACACACCGCTCCCCCCCCAGCCTCCCTCCCGGCTGCAACTCAAGCTCGAAGTGGGAGTCGGAGTCCTCCCGGCGTATAAGACGACCCCCCCACTTGGAGGCATGTTTTTCAGGGCAAAAAAGTCGTCTTATACGCCGGCAAATACGGTAAGTCAATTTTTTTCAGAGCCATTGTAACTTCAAACGGTCACTAAATGAACCGTTGTACATTGAGGACCTCAGAGTGCAGCCAAGAAATAGCAGAACTCTTCAACAAACTGGATAAAAGAGCAGCGATTAACATATCCTGACTTATGGTTATTTGACCCAAAAGATAAATTCTCTGTTTCTGCTTCACCTTTTAGAAATTTTGCAGCGTCAGGCGAAATTCATACCGCAATGGAAATCAAGGATGTTCTTATAGTTGAAATGCTTAGCATTTAAATACGCTGTTGAATACATTTAAGAAATTATATTTAAACCTGTGCCATGCTGCTGCCAAAATGCATTGATTGCTTAGAGGGTTGGCTGGGCAGATGCTTAATGCTCTGTATAGTAATGGAAAGATGAAATTATTGCTTTTAGGAATCAAAATGTTTAATAAAATAAAACAAAATGGCCATCTAATTTTTACCTCCTTCCTTGTCTTGAAAAGCTACCCCATTCCCCTGAACATAAGACAAGTGCCTCACTTAGCAACAGAAATTTTGAGCGCAATTGCGGTCACAAGTCGAGGACTGCCTGTCTACTAGACCAACAAATGAAACCGACTGAGGTATCATTAGTTTAATGGGACAAGCAAATAACAAACCCAAAGAATGACTTGGATATGTGGCTTTTAATTCAGAAAAGAGATGCGTTATTATACCTTTGAAGGAACTCCTGAGAAAAAGCAAAAGAGAGCAAAATCAACTTTTGGGACATTAGCTATGAAGAATAATTTTCTATATATATAACAGTAAAATACCCCTCATGCATTATCACAAAATCTCCAGAACCGTAAAGCCTACAAAGTTGAAATTTGGCACGCATGTTCCTTTTAGCTTCTAGGTGCTCACTAAGAAAGGATTGTTCAAAATGACCATCAGAGCATTAATATTTTCTATATGATTATTATTAACATGCTCTGATGCTAAGGAGTTCTACTCCCCCTCCCCACCTGAAAGGAAATCTCTTCCAAATGCAAAACACAAGCAGAGGAGAGGAGTTTCAGTTTTAGTTTCACAGCACTGAGCAACTTTAGTACAGAACAGGTGAGCTAAGCCACGCCCAGGCTCCTTGCTGTCTCCTTCTTGCTCACACAGCAAATACTCTTTCGGTTTCCAAATAGGTGCCTTCCAATTCTGTACTATTCTAATCCACGTTAAATTGATTAGGATCCTCTCTTTTCTAATAGCTTTTGTTGGGTTTTTCTTGACTACAGACAGAATTATTGCACACATTTTTATAAGTACAACTTTGGGTTTTGGTGCATTTGACATCCTCAAATATTCCCTCTTTTGTGTAAGTTTAGCAATATCTGTTGGTGTCTTCTTTATCAATGTTAGGTAATGAGGACTTTAGATTCAAGAGCAAAAATGACCGATAGTTGAAAAATTATGTGTCTTCTTTCTCTTTCAATTATTAGTGTTGTTGGCAAGTCAATCCTTTTTGGAAATGTTGCCTCACATGCTTTTTGTTCTGTCCTTTGGGAGGCCAAATTTAGGATGTTATAAATAGCCCAGGATCACCCGGGGTTAATATAAGGAAACAGTTGGTTGGATTTGGCGGTTTGTAAAACTGAATCAGTTTTTAAGGTAGGTTCTTGAAATATTAATTTTTTTAAAGGGGCTAGTTTCATAAAACGCAGCTGTTCCTAGCTTTTGCACCTCTTAAATGAGGGAAAACAGCTTGTGGATGGCTTGTTTCTGTTCTGATTCAGTACTTCCAAGAAATATTAATGATATTTCAAAGCACAATTAAAATTTAAAAATATCTGGAGGTGCTTTAGGAAGGGTGACATTTCAGCTCCTAATTATATTTGTGCATAATTCATAGGAAATGTCATATTTCCCATTTAAAAAATCCCTAATTTACCCTACTTATTAAAAATAACTCAGATTTTTTGTTTGTTTGTTTGCTTGTTTTGTATTTGGCAACCCGTTTTTGTTAATTAGGAAAGAAGTAAAACTGCTGCATGGAATAATTGTTGTGTAAAATATTTTTAAATAAACGAAGGTGTAAGATTGAAGTGGGTTAGCCTGCTTGGGTTTGAAACACAATTTGCTAATTAGCAAGAAATAAAATTGCCCCCTGGCCCAATAGGCAATTTTCACTGCTCTGTAAATGTTTACCTGGGTAAAACGCTTAAGTCTTCAGTGCTTATGAGCATTTTTAAAAACCTTCTTAGGATGGCAGACTTTCTGCAGTTCGATATCGATTTTTACCAATCAAACTATGCTGCTGACAGTCAAGGGGAAAGCTCTGGAAGAACCGAAGACTCCGGGAAAAAGTGAGAATGTACATTATTTCATTTTAGCATGGCATTAAATCTGCAACAAAATGGAGCATATAATTGCAATCTACATAAATAAACCTAGTTATTTGCACAGTTGAACACTTTATGGTACCTATTTAAAGGAAGAAATCCAGCAAACAGTGCCATATTTTAGGACTTTTGAGAGTTTATCTACTGGCTGCCCTAATAAAATGATGTAGGCCATTTACCACCTCCACCTCATCAGTGCCTCAACTCTGCTGGTGAGTTAGTGCAGGAGAAGGAAGGAAGGAAGGAAGGAAGGAAGGAAGGAAGGAAGGAAGGAAGGAAGGAAGGAAGGAAGGAAGGAAGGAAGGACAGAGGGGGAGAGATGGGAGAAGGAAAGAGATAGGAAAGAAAGGAGATGGAAGAAGGAAGGAAGAAGGAAGAAGAGAATAGGAAGGGAGGAAGGAAGGAAGAAGGAAGAGGGAGGGAGGGAGATAGGGGAAGAAAGGAGATAGGAAGGAAAGGAGATGGAAGAAGGAAGGAGGAAGAGAATAGAAAGGGAGGGAGGGAGGGAGAAGGAAGAGAGGGGGGAGGGAGATGGGGAAGAAAGGATAAAGGAAGGAAAAGAGATGGAAGAGGAAAGAGGAAGAGAATAGGAAGGGAGGGAGGACGGAGGAAGAGAGGGAGGGAGGGAGATGGGGAGATGGGGAAGAAAGGATATGGAAGAAGGAAGGAAGAAGAGAAGAGGAGGGGAGGGATGGAGGAATGGAGGAAGGTAGGTAAGAAGATTGGAATAGGAGGGAGGGAAAGAAAGAAGAAAAGGAGATGAGGAAGGAAGGAGATAGAAAGGAAAGCAGATGGGAGAAGGAAAGAAGGAAGGAAGAAGAGAATATGAAGGGAGGGAGATGGGGAGATGGGAGAAGGAAGGAAAGAAGGTATTTAATGGGGGTCCATGGTGAAGAAAAAGGTTGACAACCAATGGTCTAAAGCATGGGTTTCCATTGGCCATTTCAAGACTTGTGGACATCAATTCCCATGCCGGCTGAGGAATTCTGGAAGTTGAAGTCCACAAGTCTTAAAGTGGCCGAATTTGGATGTCCCTCCGGGTCTAAAGAAACCTTTGCTGAATCTTTACCTTCCCATGAAGGTCTCCATTCCAGCAGCCCCTGTTTTGAATGCTTTCTTTGTCCTAGGTTCCAGCCAGGACCTTGGCTGCCATCCGATGCCTGTTCTTCTCAGCCACTTGAAGGCCAGATCTTCCAACCCACCGATGCTTCTCCGTTCCCATCCAACCAGAGTTATTTCGATAGTTTTGAGAATGAGCCACCATTGCTTGAAGGTACAAAACCTAAACAATTATACCATTTGTATGTTCTGGCTGATGAATGCTTCTCACAGATTCGTGGCTAACCAATAATTTACCTTACCTTCCTCTTGTTCTTCATTCATTCCCCCTGCCTATTCTGGCCCAGGCTTCCCAAAATCACGAAGCCAACTTCTTGTCCCGATAAAACCTCTTTTATTTAAGGTTAAAGGGAATTCCTCTCCAGCAAAGTCCCGGTCAACAGTCTTTCATGAGATTTCACAACTACGGACCTTTTATCAGGCTTGGAGAGTTGCCAGGCCATATCTTCCAAATGCCACACTGTAGCAGACAATACTTGGCAAGAAGTCAGGAACAGATTTTCACCTTAATGAATTGAACTAATTGTCTCCTGCAAACCCCACTCCCCTTTCAGTCCTCTTTATTCCCTATGGGAGGGGCCATACCCCGTTCACCTTTGCCTTTACTCCCGAGTTGACCGTTATTCCTTAACTATTCCCTTCTTCTGGCAGCTCTGTGCATGAGCACATCAGGAACAGGCTCCAGATGTTCTTCTTTCCCACTGATCTCTGACTCCGAAGGCAGCTGATAACTGTCGGGTGGCCCTGGCCCTATCTCTGCTTCCGACGCAGAACCCTCGTCAGAGCCTTCCCCAGACTCCAGGACTGGCCCACGTTCCTCCCCAACCTCCTCGCTGTCCAAGTTTGCCGCCAGCTCCACTGGCTGCTTGCAGGCCACAACACTGCCCAGTCATGTATAATGTTCACTAATACTGTGACTTGTATAAAGTACATAAAATCTTTACTTTGCTGGACCTTTACTGAAGATCAACATATTGCTTTCTTGGGTTTATATTTCCCCTTTCCTTCAGGAGCTCAAGATCATAGAAACGTAGAATCAGAAAGGACCACACTTAGCTCAAATCTAATCTTCTCAAGAAAGCAAATCTTCCTATTTTTTCTCCACAACAAAAATATCCTTGTGGTCCAGATTGGGCTACACAGAGTTACTGGCCCAAAGTCGCTCGGTCAGCCTCCACGGTGAAGGGAGGACTAGACTTTGGGTCTTCTTGATGTCAGCCCAACATCTTAGCCTCTACATACAATCTGCCAGCATTCAATCAATCTGAGTAGAGCTGGAAGGGACCTTGGAGGTCTTCTAGTCCAGCCCCTTGCTCAAGCAGGAGATCATATACCATTTCAGACAAGCGACTGTCCAGTTTGTTCTTCATCCAGTGATGAAGCACCCTGTGATGACTTGGGGCATGACACAAAAGCAACAAAGTCACAAAAATAGATAAAGTCCCTTTAATTCCTCCAACTTGGCCTCCAATGTCCAATTATCATCAGCTGGAGAAAAAACTCTCCCAAGGACAGGTTTTAAACTGAAGAAATTCCATCCAAACTCAACGTACATATAAATTATTAATCAAAACCAACACAAATCACACTGCAGCAATTAACGAGACAGGGCGGGATAAGGGATTGAAAACATCAAAAGATAACAAAACACACATACTTGGGAGGATGCCAGAACCCAGATAAGACTTGACAAACCAGAATAATTTCACGGTTTGCTTCCAGCAACTTTGCCACGCGCAGTTTGCCCTTTTAAACAGTCTTCCCAGCTGCAGCCCATGAAGGGGATCAGGGCCCTTTCCTCCCCCGTAAACCACTCAACCCACGTTGCTCCCTTATCCGTTCTTCCCTGTGTGCCCTAGCATAAAGAGGGAATGGACCTGGGTCTTCCTCTGAATGCCCAACCAGCCTGTGCCCTTCCCCAGTTTCCTCCACAGCCACTGGAGCCACACTCCCACTCCCTGTCAGCTGTTCCACCTCTCCCTCTGAATCAGATTCCAACAGGGGCATGACACACCCACAATGTCTGGTGGCAAGGTATTCCACTGGTTAATTGTCCTCACTGTTCGGAAGTTCCTCCTTAATTCCAGGTTGGTTCTCTCCTTGATTAATTTCCATCCATTGCTTCTTGTCTTACCTTCTGACGCTCTGGAAAATAAGTTGACCCCCTCCTCTTTGTCGCAGCCCCTCAAGTACTGGAGCATTGCTATCATGTGGCCCCTAGTCCTTCTTTTCTCTAGACTGGCCATACCCAAATCCTAAGAATAAAATTCATTTATGTAGAATGCGCAAGTTCTGACTTTCCAGTGCAAGAAGCCCACAAGCTCCCCAAATGATCACCAAATGATCCTCTACTCTACACCTTTACATCTTTCTTTTTGAGACAAGCCACACCGAAGTTGTAACTAGCTTGATCTTAACTTTTGAAGTAAAATGTGTTTAAAATGATGTTCATGTCCAAAGGTGCCAAATTAAACGGTTGGAAGAAATATCCTTCTGGGTTCAGTTCCAAGTGGGGAAAAAAGACACTGGAAACATGGAGGCTGTTTGGAATGATGGTTTAATGGTGGGCAGGACCACATGGCTTGGAGCTCCAAAGTGAAAAGGATGAACACATGCTCCAAGGTGAAGGAAAAGATCAAGAAGAAGGAGGAGGGCTGAAAGTGCCTGGGTTTTATACCCTCTGTTGAGATTTGAATTTGAGCTTGTATTCTGATTGGTTGTCAGACTCCCATGAGGCCATGCAGGGGCAACTCTGTAGGCTGTCCTGAGTCCCAGACTTGGTTGAGCCTTGCTGGACGATGATGCAATGAAAAGGCTTTGGGCAATTCCTACAGCTCTACCTGGAGATCTTTGTTATGTAAAATATTCTGTCCCAGGCCTTAATGGCCCACCCATTAACAAAGTTGGGGTGAGCTTCTACTTCTGAGGTGAGTTTCTGCTTCCGAGTTTCTACTCCTTTTAGGGGAAATATTCTGCCTTTTTAATATTTCCTAGGATATTTCAATTTTCTAGGAGAGGGGTGGGTGCTAACTTCCTGCAAAACAAACAAACAAACAAACAAACATGGGAAGGGGGGGGGAATCCATTTTAATTTGTTGCCTTGCATTTGTAACCACAGACACATGTTTAGGTTTGAAATGACAGCACCCCTATTTGCATGGGAAATAAAGACATAAAATCATATTTATGGCACATGCATCATGCACTTTATTGCCTCTAGATGACAGCATCTCAATAAATTTTGCACTCAGATTTCATCACGCTGCCTTTCCCTCTGTATTTATACGGCATAATCAGACACCGTGCGAAGATGCCCATAATTAACAAAATGCTTATCATTTCGTTTACATATTTCATCATAAATTTTCATAGGTTCTTTTTAAGGGTCAATTATTCCAAAAGTCAAAAAATGTTCCTGTGACTCTCAGTTAGATCTACTCTGCTGCACAGCCACTAAGTTTGGTATGTCAAAGAGCGTAAAATCCGGTGTACAAAATTATTTAATGACCGTTCGAAGTTACAACAGCCCAGGGAAAAAAGTGATGTAGGACCATTTTCATCCTTGCAAGCATCCCTACGGTCCATGATTGACATTTGGATGCTTGACAACTGACTCATACTTGCGACGGTTGCTGTATCCAGCGTCCAGTGGTGGCATTCAAAATTGTTTACTACTGGTTCTGTGGGCATGGTTCTGTGGGCATGGTGTGGCTTTGTGGGCCTGGTTTGGTGGGCGTGGCAAGGGAAGGATATGGCAAAATCCCCATTCCCTCCCCACTCCTGGGGGAAGGTTACTGCAAAATCCCCATTCCCTCTCCACCCCACTAACTTGCTTTCCAGCTCCGTTCTCCTGTGCAGGGCAACCAAAGAAGACCCAGCCGATCAGCTGGGACTCAATGGGAGGCAGAGAATAGATGGGGCCAGGGCCACCAGACTGTTATCAGCTGCCTTTGGAGTTGGAGATCAGTGGGGCAGAAGAAAAGCTGGAGCCTGTTTCCAGTGTGCGCATGTGCAGAGCTGCCAGGAGAAGGGAACAGTTAAGGAATAAGAATCAACTTGGGAGTAAAGGGGAAGGATACTGCAAAATTCCCATTCCCTCCCCACCCCACTAACCTGTTTTCCAGCTCTGTTCTCCTGTGCAGGGCAGCCAAAGAAGACCCAGCCGATCAGCTGGGACTCAATGGGAGGCAGAGAAGAGATGGGGCTGGCGGGGCCAGTCAGAGATGGAATTGGCCAGTTCTCCAAACTACTCAAAATTTCCTCTACCGGTTCTCCAGAACTGGTACGAACCAGCTGAATAACACCTCTGCAGGAAAGGGTGAGGGTGGAGGCCCCCAACTGCTGATTGGCACTACCGGATCACTACAACCGGTGTGAACTGGCAGCATACCACCACTGCTGGGGTCATGTGATACTACGCCCTGTTGCAACCTTCTGAAAAGCAAAGTCAACAGGGAAGCCAGACTCACTGAACGACCGTTTTGTTAATTTAAGAACTGCAGTGATTGACTTAACAAAAGCGGTGAGAAAAGTCCTAAGATGAGGCAAGAACTCATTTAATAAATTTCTCACTCAGTAACATACATTTTGGGCTCGGTTGTGGTTGTAAGTGGAGGAATACCTGTACTTAGGAATGCAATCATACACTGGTTGACTTCAGAGTAACTTTCCTTAAATGGTGTTAAGGGTAAAGGTTCCCCTCGCACATCCGTGCTAGTCGTTTCCGGCTCTAGCGGGAGGTGCTCATCTCCGTTACAAAGCTGAAGAGCCAGCGCTGTCCGAAGACGTCTCTGTGGTCATGTGGCCACCATGACTAAACGCCTTCAAAGGCGCATGGAACGCTGTTCCCTTCCCACCAAAGGTGGTCCCTATTTTTCTACTTGCATTTTTTTTTTACGTGCTTTTGAACTGCTAGGTTGGCAGAAGCTGGGACGAGTAACGGGACCTCACTCCGTGATGTGGTGCTAAGGATTCGAACTGCCAAACTGCCGATCTTTCTGATCGACAAGCTCAGAATCTTAGCCACCGAGTCACCGCGTCCCCTTAAATGATGTTACTGACAAGTTAAAAACATATAGAAACTGCACTACTTGGTTTATAACATCTGCACCAATTTTATTTCTACAAATCCCTTAGAAGAGAAAATTGAATTAATATCTTTGAGTCCTTTCAGCCAAAACCTAAGAGCAACCTCCTTGAAGAAAATTAATAGAATATGTGGTCAGGTTCAGTGAAAGAAATATTAATTGGATTTACAACTATGTATTTTTTTTTATCATTGTAGTGATTTCCTCGAAAGCATTCTTGATGGTTTAATATTCATTGATCTTGGGTATAAAGATAAATTGTTAATTGGAAGTCTAGGATCGATTTGTATTTTAACAGGCCTTTATCCTTCTATTTCTCCATTTCGTTTAAGAGAATTTATAAGCGAATAATAAACCATCAAAAGTCTCACTGCATATGCAATTGCTGGGTAGGAAGTACAGAGATTCATAATTGTTCAAGTTCCACACAACGGATATTTGTTTTAACTTCTGTTATATCTCATCTTTCCTTTGGGCTCTCCTTGATATTTAGTGTCAATGACCCAATCACCATCTTATTTTTATGATCCCATAAACCCTCGCAGGGTGGAGTCTGAGCAACTGAATGGAGCTCAATGTTTACTGGCCGGATGCTCTTCCTGTCACCAAGGTGGAGTTTTGTTCAGCAGATATATTCTTGTTGTGCCCAGAGAGAGAAATATCTGCCTCTACCTACTCACAGCTTCTGATTGTGAGGCAAGAGCTCTACCTCCCAGCCACCGTACCACGAGTGTCGATGACCCAATGAGCCCCCAAATTTTGCAGATTATAGAATATTGTTCAAGGATCGAGACCCAAATGTGCATTTAACCCTACAAAATATTGATGCTAAATGTTGGTCCCTTTACTCATGAGAAAATTATGAGATACTCATGTGGGGATTTGATTCCATAATTCCGTTGTCTTTTATTAACTTAGTTCCCTTGAAGGGGATTTTTTTTTAAAAAAAAATTCTGTACAAGTAAAAACTGAATTTGATTTTTCTGGATCAATGTAAGATATATCAGTTTAAATCTTTGGGTTTTTTTGCCTTACGATCTTTGAAACAATTCCATTAATAAGCTTATATCTAACACGTGACTCCCTCAGTCATCTTGGGAAAATATATATCTTGTTTTGCCTATATTTTATAATATAGTTATTTTAAAAAGTTATTTAAAAAATCCCCAGGTTTTGATATCATTCAGCTTTGATATCATTCATGTTTTTAAGGTTATTGTTCATTTTATAAAGGTGTGTGTGTGTGTGTTTTGTAAATCAAAGCATACCATATTTGTCCTGGCAAAATCCAAATGAACAGAATGCAACAGAGAAACATTTAGTTTTTATTTATTTGTTTTGTATTCTGTGTTTATTATTTTTATAAATAACTCAGGGCTGCATACATATCCAACACACCTTCCTCCTCCTCCTATTTTCCCCACAACAACAACAACCCTGTGAGGTGAGTTGGGCTGAGAGAGAGGGATTGGCTCAAAGTCAAGTCACTCAGCTGTCTTTCATAGCTAAGGCGGGAATAGAACTCACTGTTTCCTTGTAATTAGCCCAAAGTCACCCAGCTAATTTTCATGGCTAAAGCAGGACTAGAACTCACCATCTCCTACTGATTGGCCCAAAGTCACCCAGCTGGTTTTCATGGCTAAGGCAGGACTAGAACTCATGGTCTCTTAGTGATTGGTCCAAAGTTACCCACTGGCTTTCATGGCTAAACTGGGACTTGAACTCACAGTCTCCTGCTTTCTAGCCCGGTGCTTTAACCACTAGTCCAAACTCTTTGCTGATATCTCATTCATGATACGACATGAATGTTCAGTTATAGTAATCCTATAGTTTTGTTTTTGCACACTTTTCCCTGTCCTCATTTGACATGGATTTCACGTTGATCGTTTTAGAATCCCGCCCCCCTTAGTTGTGTTGGAAGAAAAATCCAATCCCAGTTCCAAGTTGGGAATAAAGTTGGAGGCTGCTTAAGAAAGAAAGGGGTCATGGCTGGCTCTATAGGCCAAAAGGGAAGTGCAAGTCCTAGGTGTTTTGTCTGAGCTAAGCCTGCCTATTGTGTTGCTTCTCTGGAGTTTCTGCCTGACCCAGTCTTTCTGAACGGGATTACCAAAACTGCATTTCTAAAAGCTGGCCTCCTCAGTTTCTGCTTGGGGCAGGGAAAACTGGGGCTGGTTTCTACCTCCCTTAAGATTTCTACCTCCCCGCACTTCTCCTTTAGGGGAAATATTCTATCCTGCCTTTTGAATAACCCTCAAAATATTTCATTCTCCAGGAGGATGGGTGGGTGCTGACGTTCTACAGTTGGAGACCCAATTAAGATGTTCCGTTATCTTATGAGTCATTAGAACATCACACCCAACTTCTTCTTTTGTTTCTTGAGATCCTCGATGCACCATTATACCCAAGAGATTTTTTCCTACCCCTTTACCTAATGAATCTTTTTCTGTTGCAGAGTTGGGAATCAACTTCCACCACATTTGGCAAAAAACATTAACCGTGCTGAACCCCGTGAAGCCAGCTGAAGCCGCCATTATGAATGAGACAGACCTGGCTGGGCCTTTGGTTTTCTGCTTGGCTCTGGGATCCACGTGGCTCTTGGTAGGCTAGACTTCTCCACACGAAGGGAACCTAACTGTCAACCATGGACTCCAATATTATAGCCGGCCTGAGATATTTAAAAAAAAATGTGTAGCATAAGTCATATCTGGAGATTCCTTCCACTTTATAAGGCCTTGGCAAGACCACACTTGGAATACTGCATTCAGTTTGGGTTGCCACGCTATTAAAAAAATGTTGAGACCAGTGGTGGCGTCAACTCATAAAATATTTCAATGATCTTTTTAGAGTTGCCAACAGAAAGGGAGGGGGGGGGGAGCAGCGTGGCAGCTTGCAAACCGAAGCTGCATTCCATAAATGTTTTCAAAGATAGTAACTAGGTGACTGAAGTTCCTGCTGCAGCAAAATTCTAACTGGAGAGCATGATTGACGACTCTGGGCTATGGAGAATAGGAATTAGGATAACCCAGAGGGGTGGGGGAAAACCAGGGTCAAGGGTGACAACGAATGATGTGTTTCAGAGTTGACTACACCCAGGTAGCACCATCATGTCTTCTCCTAATAAATCTTCTTTAAGCTTTGAAAATCCGGCTAGGGACTCATGATTTAAATGGGGGTCACTACCGGAGCCCTGACAGCTGGTATGCTGCCTTTTTGGACTGGTTCTAGTGAACCTGTAGCTCCAACGATCAGCTGACTCCGTCTCCCTGCTCCACCCTATCCTGTCCTATATTTCCACGTTTTTCAGCTCAGCTCATTCGCATGGCACAGTAGATTCCCGCGCCTCAGCTGTTTTACTTACCTGGGCTGCCCTAGAAGGTAAGCTGTAGTGCTTGAAGTTGATGTAGTTTGAATTATGTGCGCATACACAAAGTGCGCACGCACGTGGGAAGCGCACTCTCATAGAACTGGTAGTAAAAAAAATTTGAATCCCTCCACGGGTTGAGACTCTAGAAGGAGTGCAGAGAAGAGCAACGAAGATGATTAGGGGACTGGAGGATAAAACATATGAAGAACGATTGCAGGAACTGGGTATGTCTAGTTTAATAAACAGAAGGACTAGGGGTAACACGATAGCAGTGTTCCAATATCTAAGGCGCTGCCACAAAGAAGAGGGAGGGTCAAACTATTTTCTGAAGCTCCCAAAGGCAGGAGAAGAAATGATGGATGGAAACTAACCAAGGACAGAAGCAATCTGGAACTAAGGAGTATGTTCCTAACAGTGAGAGCAATTAATCAGGGGAACAGCTTTGCCTTCAGAAGTTGTGGGTGCTCCATCACTGGAGGTTTTTAAGAAGAAATTGGTCAACCATTGGTCTGAAATGGGGTAGAGTCTCCTGCTTGAGCCGGGGGTTGGATTAGAAGACCTCCAGGGTCCCTTTCACAACTCTATTGTTCTGTTATTCCTTCCTTGCCATCTGCTTTGGTAATTGAAAGCATTCATCTTGGAACTTACCGGACATATTGTACTCTGACATTATTAATTTTCAAAAGGGAAGGGGTTAATTTAAATGAAAATAGGTGCACCTGCACTGTGGATTAGGAAACTGAGTAGAACTGTTGATTTTATTCAGAGATTGTGCATAAAATCTGAACACTTCAACTGATTTTCGGTTTCTTCCAATGCTGGTTTTCACTTGCTATCTCTTTGATGATCGATCCTGAGCTTAGTTATGGGATTCAGAGGCCTTCAGGAAAGCTTTGCCAGCCGCAGAAGAAGTTCCTTTTTAAAAAAAATTAAAAAAATTTATTGTGTTTTTTTTATATACAACAAGCCATTCCATTTCAATTGTGCATTGACTTGAATACATATTTCAATTATTTGAAATATTATAAATGATATTCTTCTTATCAAATCTAACAATACATCAATGTTCCTGTATATATTCCCATATACAATAATAATATCACACATTATAACTTTGCTTAAATTTCTCTAATTTCTCTATAAATACATCAAATCTTTTTTAGGTTCTATTCTATCTATTGATAAAACATATTCCATACCATGTAATATTCAACTTCTTTTTTTTTAAAAAATTCTAGTGTCAGTCTATTCATTTCTGCACATTCAAATATTTTTTCAATTATTTTTCCCTCTATCGGTATTTTATCACTTTTCCCATTTTGGGCAAATACAATTCTAGCCACTGTTAGTACATGTATAATTAAATAAATCTTTTCTTTACTATAACCTTCTGGTACCATTCCTAATAGGAATATTTCAGGTTTCAGTTCTATATGTTGTTTAATCATTTTTTCCAACCATGTGTGTATTTTAGTCCAATACCTTTTAGCCTTTGTGCAAGTCCACCACATATGATAATATATTCCTGGCAGTGGTGGGATTTAAAATTTTTTACTACTGGTTCTGTGGGTGTAGCTTGGCAGGCGTGGTGTGGCTTGGTGGGTGAGGAAAGGATCCCGTAAAATCTCCATTCTCACCCCACTCCAGGGGAGGGATACTGTAAAATCCCCATTCTCTCCCCACCCCACTAACCTGCTTTCCAGCTCCATTCTCCTTTGTAGGGCAACAAAAGAAGACCCAGCCAATCAGCTGGGACTCAGGAGGTAGAGAATAGATGAGGGTAGGCCCAGTCAGAGGTGGTATTCCAAACTATTCAAAATTTCCACTACCGGTTCTCTGAACTACTCAAAATTTCCGCTACCAGTTCTCCAGAACTGGTCAGAACCTGCTGAATACATCCACTGGTTCCTGGTGTTTGGTGACATTTCCAACATTTTGTTGATTTATCTTTAAACATTTCCGCTAGTCTTGCTGGTCGCAGAAGAAGGAGTTCTTGAAGGCCTCTCTCTGACAGTGAAAAGGAGGCTGGTAGTGACATACTCAAGTGAGATTAGTCAGTAGATGACATTCCCCGAAAATAAGACCTGGTGCCTTTGTGATGGCAAAAAAATATATAAGACAGGGCCTTACTTTGGGGGAAACACAGTAAAACTATTGAAAATCTTACTGACTGCAGAGGAAGCAGATACTCATTTCAGACACTAATGATGTTACACATCGGATACACATACAGGTAGTCCTCAACTTACAATGGTTCATTTAGTGATCGTTCACAGTACAATGGCACTGGAAAAAGTGACCAATGACTGTTTTTCACACTTACGATCATTGCAGCATCCCCAGGGTCACAATTTGGATGTTTGGCAACTGACTCCTATTTACGGTGGTTGCAATGTCCTGGGATCATGTGATCCCCTTTTGCGACCTTCAATGGAAAGCCAGGTTCTCTTAACCACTGTTTACTAACTGATCAGCTACAGTGATTCACGGATCATCCATAGCAAGGACTGTTGTAAGATGGGGGTGAAGTTCTCTTCGCAAATGTCTCACTTAACAGCAGAAATCTGAGGCTCAGATGTCGTCATAAGTTGAGGACACCCCAGATTGAAAAATAGGACAGCCTTGCTTCTCTAACCCAACCACCTTGCTCTTCTCTTTGCTCATTTCTGCAGGCAGGAAAAGTCCATTTTGGCTACGTCTACGGCAGCAGTGTGATCGGCTGCCTAGCCATCCATGCTCTGTTGAATTTGATGAGCCTTGTAGGGGTTTCCCACGGATGCGTCGCCAGTGTGCTTGGCTACAGTCTATTGCCCATGGTGATCTTGTCCACCTGTGCCGTATTTTTCTCTTTGCAGTAAGTATCCTCTGAAATGTTGTGAATGGGAAGAAATGGTGCTCATGCATTTTTTGACAGAGTATTTGTAGCTCGGGTTGAATTGTGGGGTCCTCTGAGTTTGGTGGTTTTCTTGCAGACATTTCATGACCAAACTAGGTAACAGCATCAGTGCTAGAAGGGGGTGGGATTTGCAGAAAGGAGGAGGAGGAAGAGGAGGAAAATAAGGAGGAGGGGAAAAGGAGGAGGAGGGGGAGGAGGAGGGGGAGGAGGAGGAGAAGTGAGGTCCTTGGTGAACTCCGAGCTTGGTGGTTTTCCTGCAGACGTTTCATGACTCAACTAGGGAACAGCATCAGTGCTAGAAGGGGGTGGGATTTGCAGAAAGGAGGGAGGAGGAGGACTGTGGAGTCCTTGGTGCTCTCTAAGCTTGGTAGTTTCCTTGTAACTTTGAACAGTCACCAAACGAACTGCTTTAAGTCGAGAACTACCTGTGTCTTCACAAGCTGTAGCTCATTCCGTAACCTCCCTGGAGTTGGTCAATGGAAGTAGAAGCGAAGTTGTTCAGTCACCATTGGTTGAGTAGATTTTTGAAGGACAAATTGTAACTGAAAGTTAACATGGGAGTCCTGATATTTTTGCTCCTGACATTTCCTAAACTGTTGTTCTTCTTTCAGAGGCATCCTTGGGACTCTGATGGCCCTGATCATTATTGGATGGTGCAGCCTCTCAGCCTCCAAAATCTTTGCTTCCACCTTGGCTATGGAAGGACAACAGGTTTTGGTTGCTTATCCTTGTGGTTTACTCTATGGCCTTTTGGCCCTCATAACCATTTTCTGAGCTTTGCTGTCGTAGCAGGATGTGGTGCAGGGGTGGGATTCTACTGGTTTCTACTGGTTTGAACCGGTTGTTATGATTCTGCGCAGTTTGGAGAACCGGCAAATTGTGCCCCTGGCTGGCCCTGGCCCTCTCCGCCCACCCTTCTCCACCCACCCCTCCCTCCCCAGTCAGTTCTTATCGCGCATGCGTGACATCGCACGCATGCCCAACATTGCTGACTGCGTTCTCCCCCGCCCAGTTACTCCTTAAGGTATTTCTTTTTTTCCCCTCCCAACAACCAGCTGTTTCGATGATCAGCTGTGCTGGGATGCCCCTCGCTGTCTTACTGCTTTGCCAGGAGGCTTCCCTGAGGCCCAGGAGGCAAAAAATCCCAGTGTGTGTGTGTGTGTGTATGTGCTGCCAAAAAAGAAGCCACACCCACCCATGGCCATGCCCACCTAGTCACACCCACAGAAACAGTTGTTAAAAAATTTGAATCCCACCTGAGGTAGTGTCTTTTCTCGACTGCAGTGGTGGGAACTAGGTTGCTTTTATGACTTGTGGACTTCAACTCCCAGAATTCCCGAGCCAGCATGGGTACCATTCAATCCCCCCCCCCAACCATCACTCTGCAGAACACTTAATTCCCACAGTCCTGTCTCATTTCTCATCGTTTCTCATCTACTCATCTTTCTTACTAGCTTCTTCTGTTGGTTTCTTATGGTTGATCAATTGTGGTTTGTAACGTATGATGAATGATTGTAACTATGGTTTATCACCTATGGCTTGCTGTTTATATGTCTATGGAGATTCTCAGCCCTCCAGGTCATGGTTGTTCCCAAAGGTGCCTCTTGAAGAGGCAACTGGACTTTCTGGTTTTTCTTTGAAGACGTTTCGCTTCTTATCTGAGAAGCTGAAGAAGATTGAAGAATTCTTGAATGAGAAGCGAAACGTTTTCAAAGAAAAACCAGAAAGTCCAGTTGCTGTTTATATGTATACTGAGAGCTTATGCACCAGAGACAAATTCCTTGGGTGTCCAAGCACTTGGCCAATAAAAAATTCTGTTCTGTTCTGTTCTGTCTGTCCTGTCCTGTTCCATCCTACCCTACCCTACACTACCCTACCCTACGCCATGCTACTCTATAATACCTTACTCTACCCTAATCTACTCTACCCTATCTTACCCTACTCTATGCTATGTTACTCTACCTTACCCTACCCTACCCTATGCTACCTTACCCTACTCTACCCTACTCTACCTTACCCTATGCTATGCTACCCTACCTTACCTTATCCTATCCTACTCTACTCTATGCTATGCTATGTTACGCTACCCTACCTTACTCTACCCTACCCTACACTATGCTATGCTACACTACGCTACCTTAACTTACCCTAGCCTACCCTATCCTACACTATGCTACTCTACGGTACCTTACCCTACCCTAATCTACTCTACCCTATCCTACCTAACTCTAAGCTATGCTACTCTACCTTACCCTACCCTACCCTACCCTATGCTACCGTACCCTACTCTATCCTACTCTAGCTTACCCTATGCTATGGTACCCTACCCTACCTTATCCTATCCTACTCTACTCTATGCTATGCTATGTTACACTACTCTACCTTACCCTACTCTACTCTACCCTACCCTACCCTATGCTATGCTGCACTATGCTACCTTACCTTACCCTACCCTACCCTACCTTATGCTATGATACAATACACTATCCTACTCTACCTTACTCTACCCTACCCTACACTATACTACTCTACCCTACCTTACCCTATCCCCATGATGGCGAATCTATGGCACGCATGCCACAAGTGGCATGCAGAGCCATTTGTGCCAGCATGTGAGCTGCAGGAAAACTTATCTCACTGTGCATGTGCGTGCCTCACAACTGATTTTTCGGCTCATTTGAGGCCTTTTTTGGCCTCCCAGAGGCTTGAGGAAAGCTTTTGCAGGCTGAAAAATAGGCCCATTTTGTAATACCGGAAGTGACAAAAATGGGCCTATTATTCATCCTGAAAAGCCTTGCAGAGGCTTTTTCCAAGCCTCTGGGAGACCAAAAAAGGCCTCAAACCAGC